ACACACACACACACACACACACACACACACACACACACACACACACACTTAAATAAAATCATTCTCATAAAATAAAAAAAAATGGTTGGAAGCACTAAGTTGCTATCTAATCACAGATGTTGAAAGTTTTGTTATTTTTATGAACCTAAATGACTCCTTGGTGAGTTGTATGACACAATAACTATTTTGAAATCTTGGCAATTTCTCCCCCTCCCCCTCCCCCAAAGTGTTACCTGCTTGAAGTCAAGGAAAACTAGTTCCTTTTATCTAAATAAGTAATGATTAAATGATACATGAAAGTCAGGGGCTTCATGGTTAATCCTCACTAAAGAAGCCTAGACAGGCATGGCGGTGTATGCCTGCATCTTAAGCAGTCTGGATATAGATGAAGAGGAAGATTTCAAGTTCAAGGATAACCTGGGCTACAAAGCCCTGTCTTGGATGAAAAAAAAAAAATCAGATCTACTATTGCACATGAAGTAAGCTCTCCCGTGTTTTCACTCTACCCACCTGATCGACCTTGTTATACTTCCCTTCCCTGTATCAGCCTCATCAGGCTTTAGAGGGGTGAGCCCTAAGAAGTGGCACAGAATTACCATTATAATAAAGTATGATTTTTTTTTTGCAAACAACATTATGTATTTAGATTGTTAAAGTCACAGTTATTCAATAGTCAGGTAGGAAAGTGGCACATAATAGAAGTCTCAATATTCCATTAAGACATTCAAGTTGACAGAAGGCACTTTCACATAATAAATATAAAGTAACCATAGCAATTGATGATAAACTCTTTGCTCATATGAAAAAGAATCTTGGCTCTTTGGTATTTTCCAATTCCTTTTGGAGAGTCATAGCGTTAAAAGTATAAAAATCTAACAAAACACTTAACATGGAGAATAATAAAACATAATGATATTTTAAAATGAGAATTCCGTTTCCTTTCCCCAGGCCTCTGTGGGTCGAATTTCCTGATGACTTAGAAACTTTTGGTGTGGATGATGCATACATGCTGGGTAGGTGTTTATAGGTTAAGTATAGTTGTTATAAACTCTACAACTATGTTTCTATTATGTTTTCTAGTGAGAATACCATAAGCCTAAGAAAAATAACTAATAAAAATAAAAGAGACTCCATCACCTTCTCTTTGAATCAGGGTCTTATCTAGCCCAGGCTGGCCTGTAACATACTCTGTCTAACGATGATGATGTTGACTTCTGAGCTCAAGTGCTGAGACACAAGCATGTGACCACACCTGGTGCTGGGGATGGAGCTCAGAGCTGTGTGCTTGTTAGATGAACACTCTACCACCTAAGCCAGACCCTGGCCCTCCTTCACCCAAGCTTTAAGGCAGTAATGAGACTGTAGCTCTATTCTGTTATAATGTAGTCCTTATAATATTCTTATTAATGCCAAGTAAATCCATTGTATTGGTGGATGCGATTTGAAAGGCTTGATTGGGGCCCACTCCTCTAAAGTCTGATGAGAAACGCTACATGGAAGGGAAGGCTAAAAAAGTAAATCAGGCGGTTATAGTAAAAACACGCAAGAGCTTATTTCATGTGCAATAGTAGACCTCATTCATTTTCATCTTAGACAGGGATTTGTAGCCCAGGTTATCCTTGAACTTTTAACCCTTTTCATCAATGTCCATAGTGCTGAAATTGCAGGTATATAATACCGTGCCTAACTTGGCTTCTTTAATGAGGATAAACCATGAAATTTAGAATATGAAAGTTTATTGTATTAAGAATCAAGCCCAAGAAACAAGGCTAGATATTGGGACCCAGAGGATAAATTCCATGCTAAATAGTGGAAACCTCCAAATGAAAATAGTAATAATAATAGTGATAATATCAATAACAGCAACCAGAGCCCTTGGAGATATAATTGAGGGCATGCTCTTGTATAACACGCACAAGGCTGTGTTCAGTCCTGGTGCACCTGGCTTCAACTTAATATTCACTGCTTTGGAGAAACATCTTTCATCATTCCTTGCTATCTTATACCGTAGCTTTATCCTCCCTACTCAAAGTCAGTCTTGCCTCTTATGTAATTTTCATTTTGCTTTATACTTTTACCTCTTTCAGTATTTCTTTTAACCCTAATTCACTTGTAAATTACTTTTTAATATCTGACTTCTTCACTTATCACAATCTTCATAAAGACATTTACATTACTCATGTAAATGTCCCTAGAACCTAGCATGGTACCTGGAACTTGGTAAATAATTATTTATTGACTAGAAGAAACAATTCAAGATAAACATATGGTACATGCGTATAATCCCAACACAAACAAGTTCAAGGTGCCTGGGTCACATAGTGAGCCCCTAGAAATAAACCTTTAAAACAAATTCCTAAGTAGATGCACTTTACACGTGTGTAATGCCAATATGAAAGCACAAGCAACACCCCAGGCTATTCTTCAGAAAAGTACAGACTCTGCAGTGGCAGCTGCCCAAGCAAGAGGGCCTGAAGAGCTGCGCTGACCAGACTTCCAGATAACATGGCAGCTCACTCTAAGCAGCATCATTCGTAGCAAATGACGAAGCACTTGGGAAGGTGCAGGGGTGCTTCCTAACTATGGACCGACCAGAAAATGAGATTGGAATTAAGCCTGTCGGCTCAAGCCTGTAGTCTAGTGCGCAAGAGGTTGAGGCAGAAGGATCCCAAGGCTAGCCTGGGACGCAGAGCAAGTTCTAGGTCAGTCTTGGCTACATAGCAAGACCTGTCTCAAAAAGAAAAAAGAAAAGAAAGCAAGCAAACACACCATCCCTGCTATAGACTATGTCAGGGTCCCTGCCCATCATCCTAAAAGCCACAATCGAGTTAATCCATTACTTTTCTGAGCCCGTGCTTCTCTCTAGTGAATTATTTGTTTAACTCCCCATCGTCTCTGCCTTGTAGAAGATCACAGTCGAGTGACCTTAAGATCACAGTAGGTGTTCAATGAAGGGAAAGGAGCCTTTCAGGTTTCCGATAATGATACTCAATTTTATCTCCTCTCTGTTTTTTAGGAAGTGCTTTATTGGTTCATCCAGTCACAGAACCACAGACCGCCATGGTTGATGTACTCCTGCCAGGGTCAAATGAGGTAAGAGCAATCACAAACAGACACATATCTTGTGTCTCCTAGGCGTCATGCCTTCATTTCTCTTGTGAAAGAGATTGCTTCAGGACGCAGTTGTGAATCTGCCTCAGACGACTATTTTCCACAGTTATGACAGTGTTCTTGAAGGCTGACAAACTTGGAGGAAAAGTGAAGATGACTAGGGACAACTTTGACAGCCATAAGTGAGTCCTTATAGAGATGGGGCCACTTTAAGGTAGAGGATTTATTCCACCCAGTTACTTTGTGGCACTCTTTTTGGTAATTCAGCAACCAACTTCCTTTGCTTAGGACTCCCAGATAGAGTTAAGACCTTGTCTCCTAATTTTATAATCACCCCCAAAAATAATGCTGTAGGAGTAATCAAGTTTTCATGGATTTCCTTCACATCTATTTTCCCTCTGATGCTCTTTTCTCCTGTCTTGGGTGTGATCAATTTGCTTGCTATGTGCTTCCCTTTGTTTTCTCTTTTTCATCGTACTTGTGGTTACAAGCATTAAGTTGGTCTATTTATCACGTGTGCATGAAGACATGTGTACCACAGCATGCACATAGAGGTCAGAGAACAATTTTGTAGAGTCATTTCTCTCCTCCCATCTTTATGTGGCTTCTGAGAAGCAATTTCAGGTATCCAATCTTTACCATTCCTTGTTGAGCACCTCATTGGCCCAAGCATGAAGTTTTTACCGGTCAGTGGACTGTAAGAACCATGAAGGTATGGTCTCATTTCTTACTTACAGTCAGTTCTTAACTATCATGCATTTCTAGCACATAGCACCTACAGTAGGTTATTGGTCAATTATCTTTTTTGTTTTGTTTTGTTTTTTGAGACAGGGTTTCTCTGTGTAGCCTTGACTGTCCTGGACTTGCTTTGTAGACTAGGCTGGCCTCGAACTCACAGAGATCTGTCTGCCTCTGCCTCTCTGAGTGTTGGGATTAAAGGCATGCTCTACCACGCCCAGCTGGCATTTAAGTTTTGAATGTATAGATGGACAAGGAATGGTCTTTAGTTCATCAATCACACACCTTTGGTAACATCTTCCTCTTCCTCCTCTTTTTTTCTCCTCCTTCCCATCTTTTTGAGATGACATCTTATGTATCCCAGGCTAGCTTTGAAAATTAGGAAAAACTTGAAGTTCTGATCCTCCTGCCTAGAATACAAGCATGTACCACCACACCCAATTTATTCTATGCTGAGGATAGAATACTGGCCTTTCTACATGCTTTGGGATTTTCTTTGGGGGGGGGTGTTTTTTTTTAATTAATTAACTTATTATATATACAATGGTCTGCCTGCAGGCCAGAAGAGAGCACCAGGTCTCATTATAGATGGCTGTGAGCAACCATGTGGTTGCTGGGAATTGAACTCAGGACCTCTGGAAGAGGAGCCAGTGCTCTTAACCTCTGAGCCATCTCTCCAGCCCTGGGTCCGGGGTTGGTTCTTAAAAGAAGAGTCTGTGGAATCTGATGGTGCAGGTACATAATTCCAGCAGGAAGATTGCAAGTTCAAGGCCTACCCGGGCTACATAGTGAGTTGAAGGACAGCCTGGTAACTTAGTAGACTCCGTGTCAAATAAAAAGTAAAGAGGACCACTGATGCAACACTCAGGAGAGTGGACCCTGCACCCTGCCTGGGTGGCACAGCAGAGCTGACCCTGGGGACGGGTGGGGCTTGAGCACCTAGAGCTGGGCCCATCCCTCGTCTGCTGTGGGGTGGCATGTGCCAGGGAAAGATGCCCTTTCCCCACTCCTCATGCCTCACCAACTGCAGCAGGCTGGTGAGCTGGCCCCTCCCCTTGCCAGCTGAGGCATTGGGTGACCTAGCCAGGGCAGTGTTGGAGAGGAGGGCTGATCAACTCAGCTACCTCCCAGACCCAGATCCAGGATTCTGGGTTGGTCCACCCCAACATCTTCCTCATCTATGAACTGCTAGAGCTTGTGAAAGGGCCAGTCATGAGATCCAAAGCAGCAGGGTCTCCATGACACAGGGCAACATCAGGGTGTCTGAGAGGAGTCCTGGGGAGGATCCATTATTGATAGTATAGCAGAAGCCAGAGGCCTCGAAGCAGACCAATGACTCATTTGCAAGTAAAGATTTGTGGACAAAAGGGTATGCTGTGTAACACACTACAGATTCCATGACAAGATGGTTTTTTGTTTGTTTTTCTTTTTTCTTTTCTTTTTTTTTTTTTCAGTTTTCTTTTGGGAAGGAGGTTGCAAGGTCAGAGGGCAGATACAAAGGAATGGGGAGATGAGTGGGATTGCAGTGCATGATGTGAAATTCACAAGCAGTCAATAAAAAGTTATTTTAAAAAGTAACAAGGGCAAGAGATACACTTTAGTGGTAAAGCACTTCCTTAGGATTTGTGAGACCTTAGGTTCAGTCCCTAGTAGCACATATGTGAGAACCCCTACACACACACACACACACACACACACACACACCAGGGCATAGGGTGTGCTTGTGTGCTCTTCCTAACTTCTCCCACACATTTCAACTATACTTATTTAAACTTCCTTTTGTTCCTTTCTTACTTCTTGGAATTGCAAGAGAGCTTTATTATAGGGCAAAAGGAAATAGTCATTGGGTAAGTGCAGGCTTCTCAGGAGAAAAATTACCCATACTCTCTTTTCAGTAGAGTCTGTTACTTTCTAGGTCTGGTATGACTCTAAGACGTTTGCACATTGGAAAGGAGGGTGTACTGTGAAGATCCCCGTAACCTTGGATACTGTAAGTTATTTTCAGAGTATTATTTTTACCTATTTAGCTGTGTTAGTCTGCTCAGAATACAGTCTGGGTGGCTTAAACACCAGAAATTTATTTCCCCATAGTTCTGAAGGTATATGACATATATCAAAGTGTCAGCTGCCTCAGGTCCTCCTGAAATAGTTCTTCCTGGCATGTAGGGGGTGATGGGATGGGGACAGTAAAGGGACGGTGTTCTTGAAAAGAAGGCTGAAGAGTTGGCTCTGATGTTAAGAGCATTGCTGCTCTCACAGAGGACCTAGGTTGGTTCCCAGCACCCATGTGATGGCTACGACCATCTGCAGGTGACGCAATGCCTTCTGATCCCCACGGGCACCAGGCACACCTGTGGTGCACATACATACACACAGGCAAAAACACACACAAAATAAAATAAATTTAAAACAGGAAAGTGTTCTTGGAAGGATAATATTCCTGTCATATCAGGACTTATCCTTGTGTGCCTGTTTCCAGACATAGTCACTTCAGTGGTTAGGGCTTCAGCATATAAATGGGGAGGCACGAGCATTCAGTTTATAATGTATTTCTTTAAAAAGTGAACCAAGGGTGTAGAACTCAACATACTAACATTTATGTGTGCATATAAAGAAAATAGATTATATTAGTACTTGCCCTGGTTGTGCTCGGGAGAGGATTTGGGAAGCAATGGAGAGTGACTGCTGAAGGGTACAGGTTTCTTTCAGAGGTGCTGAGAGGGTTCTGAAATTGACTGTGGCTGTAGTTACATGCCATCATTTAAATGAAAGAGCAGCAATCCAGAATCCAAATGAAGGTGGAAAGAGAGAATTGGCTTCACAGGGTTGTCTTCTGACCTTCATACACATGCCATGACATACATGTGTCACATACACAAGCATACACACAAAACAGTAATTATAAATAATAAAGAAGTAAATAATTTTGAGCCAAACCTAAAGCAAGTTTTATTAAATATTAAATACTGACCAAGAGATGGACTTTGGTCAACACCATTCTCTGGATTTTTTTTTTTTTTTTTTTTAGTTGTAGTTCCACAGTCCCCGTACTTGGTAATTCTCTGCCCACAGATATTCTTTGCATAAGTTTGTATCTGTAAAGAGTATGGGTCCCATATAATGACACAATCATAACTTCTGCTTGGAAAGACCTATGTATGGGCATTCATCCCCGAGCTTGCTGCTGTGTTGCAGATACCCGTGTTTCAGCGAGGCGGAAGTGTGGTGCCAGTAAGGACCACTGTAGGGAAGTCCACTGGCTGGATGACTGGCGCCCCATATGGACTTCGAGTTGCCCTAAGTACTCAGGTATTTGGAAAACCGTTCACGGTTTTTCTTTTCTATTCCATCTCTTTACAGTGGTAGTAGCCTTTTGAGGATATGAAAATGTGATAAATCTCATATAAAACAGTGCTCCTGGTGATTGTCTCAAAATGAGGGCCTGATTCATTTCTGAATCACTGTCAAGTCTGCCCTTCCTGGCATTGTTCTTAGGATCTCTGAGAGCCAGGAATGATGCAAATATGCTTCTGGGGCATGTAATGTCTGTCTCTCAGGCTGGCGTGGACTGCCCCTGTAGATTGGTCCTGAAACTCAGTCTCCTACAAAGGAGGGCCGCCAAAAACGTGTCTTCACTATTTGGGTATACGCTAACTCAGTCAGTGACTTCTCTTCTCATCAGGGAGCCCCAATGAGTAAGCCTCCTCACTATGGCTTGGTAGTGCTGAGTGTCTTTTGAACCAAGTGAAGCCTGTGGTAGACACCTCTCTTATCTGTTTACCCCAATGCTTTACCAGAGCCAAAAACATACTCTTGTTATAGTTATTTACATTAATATTGTAAAATAAGTAAATTCCTGCTTTCTTTTCCATGTCTTTTATTGAAGCTCGTCTTCTTCGGGCAAACTATGGTCTAGGATCCATGTGGGGTCCCAGAATGAATGCAACAAGCTAGAGACCCATCCTACAGCCAACACTGTTAGTAACTAACCTGCCATGTGGAGGGACGGAAGAGCATCTAAAGACAATTGACTTTAATCTGCTATATAGCGTTTTTTTTTTTTTTTAACTTCAGTTCTGTTCTGTGCACTTTCTTGCCCTATTCAGGGATAGTATTTTCAGAATTAATTACTGATTATATTTCATATTTAAGTTTCCTTCGACAAGGTCTAATTCTTTGTGCTGCTCTTACGTAACCACCCTGTTCATATTATTTTATTATCTACTCAGGAGTGATTGGATATTGAATACATAAGGAACTTGTGTGTAACGTTGTGCAGTTTGAATACTCGGCTCCTCAGGTTTTTCACAAATTTTCAGATGTTACTCTTTCCCTTTAGAAGATGATATTTTTTTCTATAACACTATTGCCATTAGCAAGTCCTCTGTGATTCACTCTACAGGATTCTGCTGTGGGAGAGCTGTATCTCGATGATGGCCATTCATTCCAGTACCTCCACCAGAACCAGTTCTTACACCGCAAGTTTTCATTCTGTTCCAGTGTCCTGACCAACAGGTGAGGGCAGCTGTGAAGCTGTGACTCATCTTAAATTATGCTACCTTCTTGGCATCTTCAAATAAGTGGATAGTTCAGGTTTTAAATTACTAGTTAGGGGCCTGAGAGATGGCCTGTGGGTTAAAGAGCCCTGGTTGCTCTTGAAGAGGACCCAGGCTCAGTTCCCAGCACCCATATGGTCTGTGACTCCAGCTGCAGGGGATCGGATCCCCTTCTTCTGCCCTCTAAGTGCATGTGTGCAGCTACATACACAGCTAAAACATTCACATTCATAAAATAAAAGTAACTAATACAAATTCTTTAAGATATTATTTAAATAAGTGAATGGGGGAAGCCATTTGTATTTTTCGACTACTCACCATGAAAGCTCCTTCTTTTTTGTCCTTATCTTCTTTTTCCCACCTGCCTACAAAATAAAAATATTCAGTTTAAGTACTCATTAATACCTTCATTCCTCCGTGCACCAATTAATTAAACATCTGGTTTATTTCAGCTTGATTGTGTCCTTTGTGTTCTTCAGATGGTTTAGGGAGCTTGATACGGCCCTCAGCACATGGAATCACCTGCTTTCATCTCTTTGTCCTCCTGAATACAGCTCCTCCTTGCACCATGCCTCCATAGAGACACACAGGAGAAAAATTCACAAGGATGGAGATACTGACCTGTGGCCAACATAAACCCCATCCCTGTCCTTTTCCTAATACCATTCGTATCCTTCCAGGTGTGCTGATGAGAAGGGTCGTTATCCCAGCAAGGGCATCGTAGAGCAGATCCTGATCTTAGGCCTTAAGAAGAAGCCATCTTCCGTAACTACCCACTCATCCGGTAAGCAAACGGTTCATTCTTACTTCAGTACTTGTTCTGTAAACACAGACGTATCTGTAGTGAAGAGATGGTTTGTCCCAATCTGCCATACTATGCGTAGCTCAGGCCCTCTCTGCTCTTTTTGGGTCAATTTTCTAGTCTCTAGAGCAGCAGTTCTCAAACTGTGGGTCGCAGTTAGAGATATTGGATATCCACATCATGATTCACAGCAGTAGCAAGATTACAGTTATAAAGTAGCGAGAAAACAGTTTTACGTTTGGGGTCACCACCACGTGAGGAGCACGTAAAGGGTCAGCATCAGGAAGAAGGTGGAGAGCCACTGCTCAAGAGAGAGCAGGCTGGTCTGCTTCTCTTCCTGAAGTGCTCTTTCTCTCACAGTTAGTATTCACCAGGAGAAACTACTCAAGGCCTGTAATCGTGCTCTAGTACTCCAGGTGTTTAATTTGGGGCAGGTTACAGCCATCTTCAGTCCTGGAGAATACTTAGCAGTATTCTGAAGAACTGGTGCACGGGACGGTGTAGAATTATGCCCCTCCTTCACTTACTGCATTTTGTGGACAAATCACTTTGTTCCATGTAGTCTCTTTCCAGCCAGATTGCACTCAAAACAATGAGACTTTTCATGTCTTGAAACATTCACAGGAGTTCATGATAAAAGTGCTCCCGGGTTCTCCTAAGTGAGGTATGACATTGTTTGAGAGCATCAGATGCTGTATCAGACTTGGAGAGAGAGAAAAAAAGTGTTTTCTCTCCTGGTTTTCTCACAAAGTGTCTTCTTATCACCTTGCCATTTAGATGGTGAAGTTCAGCCTGTGGCTTTTACATATTGCACCAAAACATCCACCCTGAGTCTGAAGAAGCTTTCTCTGACCATTGGTGATGACTGGGAGGTCCATGTGAGATGATGAGCAGTTGCCCTGCTGAGGGGCGCGGGAGCCCCCTGACCTCTCCACCTTCCTGGCCTTCGTCAAGATCTGTGCTGCCATCTAACTTGCTTCCCTGGGGAAAATGATGTTTCACTCATCTCTAGCGCACTGATGACAGGTAGATTTCACGTTTTAAGATTTTAGCCACGTGCAGTTACCCTCTCCTGTAATCCCAGCACTCAGAAAGCTGGGGCAGAAGGATCGTGAGTTCAAGACCAACTTAAGCTGTATTGTAAGACCTTGTCTCAAAAAAAAAAAAAAAATCAAAAATAAGATTTCAGATTTCACACTTCAAGATGTGTGGTTGACACTGCTCAAGCACTGCCCTTCCCTGCAGACCCTTAAAGCCCTGAGACACTGAAAGAGCTCAGTGAGTGGCTTGCCCTGGAGCAGGGCTACTCAGGAGCCCATCTGTGGGGCACAGCCGCCTTGGCTGTTAGAGCAGCAGAGTTGCCCAAGCCAGTCTCCAAACAGATGGCAGTGCCTTCCGTCAGCAGCAGCACAGGCACGCTGCATGGGCAGAGCTACGGAACGTTCCCCTCCCTAGAGAGACTCAGGGGCCCAAGGATCAGATTTCCTTTCATGCTTCTTGGATTCAAAAGTACCAAGGCAGTCTCCAAAGATTTACTCCTTTTAATTATATTTTATTAAATACTATCTGCTATCCAAAGAATATTTATAACCATGAATATAGTAAGCTATAATTAGTAATAATGAAATAAATACCCACATCCCACAAGTGAACTTCAAAAATAGAGCACATGGCTGGGACTCTAATAACACAAGAGAGACTTGTGTTAGACACAACCAATACCAATATGAATAATGTTTTAACACACTATCTTTAAAAAGCAAAACGAACACGCACACCAGGCTGATTCTAAAGGCACCGCAGTATTATTGAGTCTTCCTTTTGCATTGGGTTCCAACCTGGCTTGGCACAGGCTAGAATATTGTAACATACCCATGCACCATGATGTTTCTGGCTCTGGAGACCCCTGCTGTCTGTGTAGCGGCTATTGAGGTGGCCTCAATTCTCAGCCTATGAGCCTCTTGCTGCACTTACTACCTATTTCCAACTGTCACCATCTGCCTTTCCTTTTCTTAGCCACGGTACCCTCCCTTGCCTCCGCCTATACAGATCTTACCATCCTTCCAGACCCAACCCAAATCCCACTTTTCCTACTCTTAACCTGACACCCCAACCCTGCAGTACCCACTGGCATTATTTAGCCTTTCTCTGACATGCTGCCCCACAAATAATTGTGCCCTACTTTGCATTCTCAGGGATGTGCCTTAATATTACAAGCAGGACTGTGTATCTCTCTACTATAGTGTATGTTCTCTAAGATCATGTTCTATTTCTCTCATGCCTGTTACACCACTCCGGTAGCTTGAATGAAACATGTCCAGCCCCCTGTAGGCTCATGAGCAGTGGTCCTTAGGTGGTGGCGCTGTTTGGGAAGTTATGAAACTTTTAGGAGGTACATTTTTACTAAAGGAAATGTGTCATTGAGGGCAGGCTTTCCTCCATTTGTTTGTTTGTGCTGCTGAGATGTGATCTCTTCCTTAGCAGCCTGCTCCCTTGCTGTCATGCCTCCCTTCCTGTTATGGACTCTACCCATGAATGTAAGCTAAAATAAACTCTTCTATAAGTTGCTTTTGGTCATGGTGTTTTGTCATGGCTTTTCCTCTTCGTTTGCTTCCTGGTCATGAGGTAGATGCTTTTGCTTTGCCCCAAGATTCTCCTATGATGTTCTGTTTTGTTTTGTTTTGTTTTTACAGGTCCAAAACAATGGAGCTAATTGATAAGGGCTCTAAAACTATGAACCAAAATAAACCTTTTGTCTATATCTGCTGGTTGTCTCATTAACTTTGTTTTGTGATGGATAGCTGATTGATACCATGATATCATTGATACCATGGGTTGAATGAATGGTCATTCAACCTAGCCAAACCCCAAAACAATATTAAATTCAGGCCTTTTTGTCACCACTTGCTGAGTGCTGAAGATACCCTAACACCATTTTAAAAGTGTTACATGAGTTAACTTGTTTCATCTTTACACCAACCAAACAACAGAATTACTATCATTATAGCCATTTTACACAAGACTGGCTAAAAGGAAGAAAGGTAATTTGGCTAAAGTTACCTAATCACAGCCAGCAGTGGCCAGCTAGACTTTGAACCTGGGCAGTCAGCCTCCAGAAACTGCTCTACTCTGTTCTCCTTCAAGAGTAGTGACACCTTGGGCATTTTCTTGGAGGGACAGGAAGATAAGCTAATGGTTCTAATTGCTAAGACAGGTTTCCTTCAAGCTACACTGCCAAGAATCATGGGCCTAATCATACCCTCTTTCTCTATTTGTGTGCATGTGTGTGAGAGAGGTGTGTGTATATGAGTGTGTACATGTTTGTGTGTGACTGTGGTCTTACACACATGCGCTGTGGCCCACGTAGAAGAGGACAAGCTGGGGTGTAGGTCCTTGCCTTCCACCTTGTTTGAGACATGGTGAGGCAGTCTTTTTATCATTCGCTGCTGCATAGGCTGACAGCCTGGCCCATGCTTCTAGAGGTTGTCATGTCTGTGCTTTCCATCTCCCTGCAGATGTTCTGGGTGGCAGACATGCTGCTGCGCCATTTTACAGGGAGCCCAGATGCTCACTTACGTGGCGAGTGTTTTACCACTGAGCCGGCTCTCCTGCCCTGTGCCCCCATCTCAGCTGTCATTTCCTACCCTCCCCCATATCTTCTAAAGCTGGAACCATAAGGCTGGTCACTTCAGAACAGGCACAGCTGCAAGCCAGGACAAGCCTCTCCCTGCCAGACTTCAGCTGCAGCCATCTCATTATGACCCAAACAGTCAAGCAGCAGCCTTCCCCAGCCTCTTTCATCCACTTTTAAAAGCCCTGAAGGCAAGTCTTAGACATGTAAGGCTTGACACCAACCTGGCTCGGTATCTATTTCCAGCATCCATCTAGATGCTGATGTGGTGTAGCTAAATAATCTATTCAATAAATAACGTACTGGGTTAAACACTGTATTTGAGGGCAGGTGTGTCTGAGTCCAGTGGGCAAGAACAGAAGGATTTCCTTGACTGGAAATTTTGCTGAGTGGCATTTTCTACCCAGTTGAACCGAAAGCTGATTCCAGAACATTCTAGAAAAGATGCTGGCTCTAATTTTAAGTGACGTTCTGATATCCTAACATTTTAGGAAGTAAAAAGTCATGTTCCCTAAAATGGGTGGACTATGCCCCCCAAGATTCTAGCCAGCTCTTCAGATACTGTTTTCCATGGTTCCAGTGGCCACTGCTTCGCTGATTTCTGCTGTTCATGTGACTCAAGATACTCTCATTTCTTGACAGCGGAGTTCTTAATGTCAATGTGGAACTATCTCCAGCTAGGCCCTTCTCTACTGCTCAGTCTGGTCACACACTGGCCTCTTGCTTTCATGCTCACGATCTCACTTCACGGCTATTTTTAGTTTTCCTGGCTTAAGCTTCTTCAGGCCACTGAAACACAACCCTCATTCTCTTTTTCTGCCTCTGGCAAGCATGCTGCTGGTAGGAGCCCCCAGGTAAAACTGCTTCTAAATCCTTTAGTGCCTCTTTCTCAGGAAGACCTATGGCTCCAGAGTCACAGCTGGCCTGTTTAAGTTGGTCATAAGCAGCCAACTTTCTGATAGGATTTAAACTCTGAAGCGATTGTGGCCATTTTTTTTTTTTTCTCAGATGACAGAATCACTTCAACTTCCACTCTGTAATTGCTTCCTTTCCTTGAAGGTGGCTGGATCTTGTTTTCTTTAAAAAACCGTCTTCCTTCCAAAGTTGCCTGCCATGCCGACCGTCATTAGTGCAACTGTGGCCCCAAGAACAGGGGCCGAGCCCAGGTCCCCGGGGCCAATTCCTCACCCAGCCCAAAGCAAGACCACCGAGGCTGGGGGTACACAGCCAAGTGGCATCTATTCAGCCATCATCAGCCGCAACTTCCCGATTATCGGAGTGAAAGAGAAGACGTTTGAGCAGCTCCACAAGAAGTGCCTGGAGAAGAAAGTTCTTTTTGTGGATCCCGAGTTCCCACCAGACGAGACTTCGCTCTTTTACAGCCAGAAGTTCCCCATCCAGTTTGTCTGGAAGAGACCTCCGGTGAGTAGCTTACTGGTTTTGCAGCTGGCTGCAGTCTGCCGGTCCTCCCACTCAGCACCTCCTCAAGCACTGTGGGGGCACATGGGCACAGGGGGAAGGATCCTGGCAGGGGCCTGCTGGACTCTGGCTGCAAGTGTGAAAAGGGAGGATAGAGTCAAGTCTAAGGGAGTGCGGGTGGGGCTGGTTCTCCCTCACTTTCTCTCTTTCTGCTCTTCATAAAGTAGTTAGAGCCCTAATTCATCTTATAAAATGGCCAGCCTTCCCCAAAACCAGTTTCAGAGAGTCCAGAGCTACATTCTCTGCTAAGTATCTTGAGACTTCTTCCAATTCTCAGGCTAAAATTATGAGATGTTGTTCTTCAGTTTGCCCGTGACCAAGGATTTCTGAAACTCAGAAGCCAGGGGAAGAGGAGAAAGGCAAAGACTACTTTTTCTAACATATAGTATTGGGATTAGAAGATATATATATATATATATATATATATATATATATATATATATATATATATATATATATATATATTGTCTGTATACCTCACTGCACAAATTAGGAAGCCAAAGCTCAGCAATAGACCCAGCACATGACAGGGCCTGGATGAAACCCTACTCTCTACCCTCAGGCTTTCACTAACAGGGTTCCACCAGAGGGAAAATTATGTTCCCCTGGCTCCCTTCTCTGATCATGCCTCCAGTGTGACTTTTGTTTTTGATTTAAAAAACAAACAAACAAACAAACAAAAAAAAAAAAACCAGAACAAAACATGTTAGTCACAAAATAATCTGGGTCTAGGGGCAGAGCTCAGTGGTAGAGTCTGCTTAGCATGTCTGAGACCCCATGTTCCATCCCTGGCACATCTGCTAGCTTCACATCCTGGGCAAGTGACTAAGAGACAAAAACATATGTGAAACCTGTGTCTTGACGGGAAGATGGGCATTGAGTTAGAGTGGCGTTAGGACTCGGTGTCCGGGTGGATGGGATCAAAAAGAGCAGGCCAGGTCTGGAGAGAGAAACCTTTGATGTAGAAGTGATGGTAAGCTCCTCACAGGATTCACTGGCCGTGTTTTTCTCTATTTACTAACTAGAGCTGTTTCCTCTCCCCTCCTGGTGTCCTTCAGTAAGGCCCATCTGTGGCTGTCATGAATGTCCTCAGCCTGGGAGAGAATGCTGCAGTGGGCCGGTGTAGTTCAGCACACTCTGTGAATGTTTGAAGCCCCAGGTCCATCCAAGTCCAGGGGCAACCCAGTGGACACACTAAGACAGGCTGCACCCCTGCAGCAGAAGTCCAAGCTGTTTAGTGAGCACCGCCCTTCTCAAGCAGGCCCGTGCAGCTGACCTTGCACCTTCAGTCTCTTCCCCTTGATGCTGCATCTGGCGGCAGTGCCCTTCCAGGGTTTGGCTGATTGGCTCCTCCTTGCATTTACTGCGTAACTGCTCAAGTACTACTTCCTTCAAGCTTCCTCACTCCTCTCCTGGTGCCGAGAGCAGGGCCTATCTATTTGTGGTCATTTGTAGACCCTGCACATATACTAAACACGATAGTATACAAATGATGGTAGCGAGTAAAAACCCACATCTAAGGGTCTGGCCTAAGACAGCCCCGCTTTCCAAAGCTGGGAGCCCCAGAAGCCTTGTCTAAAAGTACTCAAAGAACAAAGGGACCAAAAACCTACAAACACTGTTTCTTACTGAAATCACTGATGGCTTTGAGCCTAAAAGCTAGATTTGCAAATATATAAAAGGCCTATGCTGCTCTGGGATTGCCAGTGGTCCCACGCATACACTGTCTTGCCAGCACATATGGACCAGAATGCTCCAAGAGGCCTGACTGGTGGATATTGGACCCCTACCACCATCACCAACAACAAAGATCCTGAATTTTCAAGCCGCCTTGGTTAAAATGCCTCTATGCCCGCCCTTCCATGGTTAAGATTGGGGCCTAATGGGCTGGAGAGATGGCTCAGTGGTTAAGAACACTTATTGCTCTTTAAGAGGACATAGGTTTGGTTCCCAGAACTTGTATGTGGTGGCTCACAAAGGTAAAATTCCAGTTCCCAGGGATTTGATGCCTCTTGCGATATCTGTAGCTACGGCACACACATGGTACACACACATACGCTCAGGCAGGCATCGTTGTCATCTTAAAAAGAGTGCTGGGCTATATAATGTTTATGATTAGCCCCAAGATTATCAGGGCGGTATTATTTAACCCACTATCACAAATAATAAGACACAGACACTGTTAGATTTTATAATTGCCTTATTTGCCTTGGGCCAGGCAGATATTTCACTTAACGCTGGCTCAAGAACCTCACCATCCATCTCCCAGCCCCCATCCAATGCCACCCACCTTGATCCTCCTCATCTGGTCTACCTTCCATCCGTAATCCCGTGGTACTTGCTTCAATTTTTTCATCTGGGCCTTTTCACGCCATTATTGGAGTCCTTCCTCTCAGCCCACATGGTTTTTTTCCTCCACACTAAGCCTTCTTGGAGTCGTCCTTCCTCCCCTCTTCCCATTGGAAGCCTGGGAGCCTTAGCCACGCCTACCCCATTCTGCCCTGCCCAGGGATAGGCCATTTAATTAACCAATCAGGTGTAATGACTTAGGCGGGTTTACACAACAAGCATAGGTTTATGTGAGAAGGTGCTCTTCTGAGCAAGGACAAGATCTTGGGGGCCAGTGATTAACATTAGACCAATCTCCAACAACACATACTTATATACATATAAAATTAAAGATCAGGGGAATGGGTTGTGGAACTGTTACCTAAGCACTTCACTTTACAAGATTACAAAGGACTTATGTATACACTATGCACATTGGAATGACTCCAGAACTTTCTAAAATGTAAAACCTGTCTTGGCTTAGATTTTTCGCCAAACCTCCTTTATTCAGGGTTCCTAAATGCTTCTACCTCCCTTCCACCCACTGACCAGAGGTAGGGAAGAAGGAAGGTTATTAGGTAAAGGCGGTTGTGGGCCTTCTTAAAAGTAGTTCTTTGGGATGAGTCCATTCTTCGTTGTCTGGATACCAGCAGTCCAGTCCAAAGGCCAACACCAAGCAGCAACAGGAATCAGCACCATTCAGAAGATTGGGACAAATCAGCAAAAGCCGCAAGATTCAGTTGGATTGTCCCAAGAAGTTCTCTGGAACGTTTCTCTCTGCAAAGTCAAGTGTTGAAGCATGAAGATCAGTGCAGCGATGTTGATCCAAAAAGCAATGTCTCACTGTCTGTGGGCTTCTATGTATCTCCTCTCCTCAGAGTCCACCCACGGATGTTCTCAGCTGGCCAAAGCCACGCCCCTTGCACGAGAGAGCTCGCAGCAGAACATCACGTGCCCTCTCACAAGCCAGCTTCCAACAGAACATCACATGCTCCCAAGATAGCATCCAGCAACATCACATGACTCAGCTGAGTCTTCAAAGAAACCGGAAACTTCCACTTAGAAACACTCATTCTCCCAAGCACTTTCTTGTACACAGGAACCTCTGTCTAGCCTAAGAGTATGAAAAAGGGACCATGTCTTGTGAGAAAAAGCAATATGTCCCATCCCGCGGGACTTAGTCATTCGTGGGGGCGAAGGGGGTCAATCCTGAAAAAGATGGGGGAGAGAGAGAAAGGACACAAGCAGACGGTTGCCGGTCAAGTGTCAGCTTTATTGAACTTTGGTGTTTCTTTTAAAACGTGGTTTTGACAGGGTGGGGGAGAGGGGCAAGAAAGGGAAGTAGTAGTGGAAAATACCAAGACCCTTGGTGGGAAGTTCCCAAGGCTAAGAAGGTGGGTTAAAGAGTTACAAGGCCTGAAGATAACATCGGTGGTCACATCGGTGGTCACGGATGTGTCCCAAAGCAAACAGTTTTGGGAACAATGGGTCGTCAGAAGCTATGGCCTGCTGGCGCCCGGTGCTTATCTGGCAGGTCAGGCCCTTAGGAAGGGTCCCAGGGCTTTGTTCCCAACAGCAATAGATGAGGGCTTCATTTCGATGGGTTAGCCCCTCCCCACCTCTTGCTGTTAGTGTCATGCCCATATTCAGCTGGGCTTTGCCCGGCTGTCTAACCTTCCCTCACTGGCCTAGCTAGTTCTCTTGCTGCTAACATTTGGACCTGAAGAAAGCTGCCAGTCAGACAGAATCCCCTCAGTACCTCCACCCAGCTGCCCTATTGCTTATTACCACAACTGGAAATCTCTTGAATTAGGCTCTACGGGTGATGTTTAAGCGAGTTTCCCAAGCCCTGTTTCACCCAGTTGAGCTTTCCGTGCTAGCACTTGCTTGACCTCAGTGTCCACAGGGAATGATGGCCACCCCGTCACCCAGCCAAGCACTTTGGAAAGCACCCCAATGGTGCAAGATGCATTTTGCTTTCAGCCCTGTGGGGGAAGGTGAAAAAATGTGAGGAAAAATTCCCCACTGGGTGGGAAAAAAAGAGACAAATCAGACCCATTGCCTGCTTCTTTGTCCCAAGCTGACATCCACAGCCTAGAGCTCTCCCTTCTTCCCTGCTGCCTACTGGCGTAGGGATCCAGCCACACTGGCTAGGTTTTGCTGCTCTCTGTGTGATCCGGTCTCATTGCCCCTTCCCAGATCTACGCTATCCAGGCTGAAGTAATTTATCCCTAGACCGGAGCACTTACTCCAGGAAAACACAAGTGTGCTTCTTTTCTGAATCCTTAACAAAAGAAAAAAAAAAAAAAAACAGATGGAAAAATTAGAGTGTGTGTGTGTGTGTGTGTGTGTGTGTGTGTGTGTGCATATCTGTGTCTGTGTGTACACCCATGACTGCAGGTGTCTTCAGATTCTAGAAGAGGGCAGCTGGAGCTGGACTTGGAGGCTGCTGTGAGCTGCCTGATGTGGGTGCTAGGAACTGAGCTCAGGTTCTTCGAAAAAGCAGGATATGTCCTTTAACCTGCGAGCCACCTCTCCATCCTGCATTATCATTACATAAAGAGTACTTGAGTCCATGTTGGTACCTGCCTGTAGCCATAGCTACTGAGGAAACT